CGGAAGGACAGACAGGAAGGTAAGGGAGGTGGAGTTGCTCTGATTTTTAAGGATGATATCAGGGTGGTAGTGAGAGATGATATAGGTTCTCCTGATCAAAACGTTGAATCCATTTGGGTGGAAATTAGGAATAGCAGGGAGAAGAATTCTCTGATAGGTGTGGTCTATAGGCCACCAAATAATGACATCGTGGTGGGGCAGGCAATAACCATAGAAATAGCTAATGCATGTAAAAATGTTACAGCAATTATCATGGGGGATTTTAATCTACATATCGATTGGTCAAACCAGGTCGGTCATGGCAGCCTTGAGGAGGGGTTCATAGAATGCATCTGTGATAATTTCCTTGAACAATACGTAATGGAACCTACGATGGAGCAAGCTATCCTAGATCTAGTCCTGTGCAATGAGACAGGAATAATTAATGATCTCACAGTTAGGGATCCTCTCGGAAGGAGCGATCACAGTATGGTTGAATTTAAAATACAGGTGGAGCGTGAGAAGGTTAAATCCAGTACCTATGTCCTGTGCTTAAACAAAGGAGACTATGAAGGAATGAGGGAGGAGTTAGCTAAGGTAGAACGGGAACAAAAACTTTATAGTGGGTCAATTGAGGAACAGTGGAGGACTTTCAAAATGATTTTTCACAGTGCTCAGCAGAAGTATAGTCCGATGATAAGGAAGAACTGTAGGAAAAGAGAGAGCCAGCCATGGATGTCTAAGGAAATAAAGGAAAGTATCAGATTGAAAAAAAAACACATACAAAAAAGCAAAGAGTAGTGGGAAACTAGTAGACTGGGAAATCTTTAAAGGCCAACAGAAAGCCACAAAAAAAGTTATAAAGAAAAGTAAGATAGATTATGAGAGTAAACTAGCTCAGAATATAAAAACAGGCAGCAAAAGTTTCTATAAATATGTAAATCGTAAAAGAGTAGCAAAGGTAAACATTGGTCCTTTAGAGGATGAGAAGGCCAATTTGATAACTGGAAATGAGGAAATAGCCGAGATATTAAACAGTTATTTCGTGTCGGTCTTCACAGTGGAAGACACAAATAACATGCCGAAAACTAATGGCAAAAAGGTCATAGCAGGTGAGGACCGAGAAACTATCGTTATCACTAAGGAGGCAGTGCTGGGCAAGCTAATGGGGCTAAAGGTAGACAAGTCTCCTGGCCCTGATGAAATGCATCCCAGGGTACTAAAAGAGGTGATGGGGGAAATAGCAAATGCACTAGTAATTATTTACCAAAATTCACTGGACTCTGGGGTGGTTCCCGCAGATACATCTGGATATAAATTGTCTCATTGGGAACACCCAGCATGAGTTCATGAAGGGTAAGTCATGTTTAACTAATTTGGTAGAATTCTTTGAGGACACTACTTGCATGGTGGACAATGGGGAACCTGTGGATGTGGTGTATCTGGATTTCCAGAAGGCATTTGACAAGGTGCCACACCAAAGGCTGCTACATAAGATAAAGTTGCTCGGTATTACAGGTAATGTATTGGCATGGATAGAGGATTGGTTGACCAGTAGAAAGCAAAGAGTAGGGGTAAATGGGTGTTTTTCTGGTTGGCGGTCAGTGGCTATTGGTGTGCCTCAGGGATCAGAGTTGGTACCGCAATTGTTTACAATTTACATAGACGATTTGGAGTTGGCGACTAAGTGTGTTGTGTCAAAATTTGCAGATGACACTAAGGTGAGTGGTAGAGCAAAATGTGCAGAAGACACTGAAAGTCTGCAGAGGGATATAGATAGTCTAAGTAAGTGGGCAAAGGTCTGGCAGATGGAGTACAATGTTGATAAGTGTGAGGTCATCCATTTTGGTAGGAATAACAGCAAAATGGACTATATTTTAAATGGTAAAAAATTGCAACACGCTGCTGTGCAGAGGGACTTGGGTGTCCTTGTGCATGAATCACTAAATGTAGGATTGCAGGTGCAGCAGGTGATTAAAAAGGCAAATGGAATTTTGTCTGTCATTGCTAGAGGGATGGAGTTTAAAAACAGGGAGGCTATGCTGCAGCTGTATAGGGTCCTGGTGAGGCCACACCTGGAGTACTGTGTGCAGTTTTGGTTTCCTTACTTGAGAAGAGATATACTAGCACTGGAGTGGGTGCAGAGGCGATTCACTCGGTTGATTCCAGAGTTCAGAGGGTTGGATTATGAGGAGAGCCTGAGTAGACTGGGATTGTACTCATTGGAATTCAGAAGAATGAGGGGAGATCTTATAGAAACATATAAGATTATGAAGGGAATAGATAAGGTGGAGGCAGGGAGGTTTTTTCCGCTAGCAGGTGAAACTAGGACTAGAGGGCATCGCCTCAAAATAAAGGGAAGCAGATGTAGGACTGTGGTCAGGAGGAAGTTCTTCACCCAAAGGCTTGTGAGTCTGTGGAATTCCCTGCCCAGTGAAGCAGTTGAAGCTACCTCGTTGAATGTTTTTAAGGCAAGGCTGGATAAATTTTTGAACAGTAAAGGAATTAAGGGTTATGGTGAGTGGACAGGTAAGTGGAGCTGAGTCTCAAAAAGATCAGCCATGATCTTATTAAATGGCGGAGCAGCCTTGAGGGACCAGCTGGCCTACTCCTGCTCCTAGTTCTTATGTTATGTTCTTATGTTCTTATGACGCTTCATCAGAACTCTGATATTTTGACCTGCTGAGCTTCACCAACAATTTCTGCTTTTGTTTCAAATCTCCAGCATCCACAGCTCTTTGTTTTATTTTACTGATCCTATCTAATGGCTGTATTAGAGGAATCTCTGACATTCTGAAAGTGAGGCCATCTTTGTCATACACTTACATTTGTTCTTCCATTGCATTTTGCTGTTTCTCATGGGTTTGCTTCATTATTTCTATTTGCTCCTTGATCTGATCCTGGTTACCTAGCAACTAAGACAAATGCATCAGTCTTCCCAATTTCCAAGCCAAAACCCCAGCAGATATTTTTCACCATTTGTAACAATGACCAGCAAAAATGCCCTTCATTTGTGAATATTATAACATTCCCAGCAGAAATCTGGCATCATAGTCTGAAGCAGTTTGAAATACTGATGTATTGACATAGGATGCAATATGAGACACATGTGTGATACAAAGCTAGCTTTTCCATCAGCCCAAGATGGAATCTGTGGTTCTGTATGGCACACCCCGGGCTTTGATGTCTGCATCTCTTATTTCCTGGAGGGTGCCCGCAATTTTGAAACAAATAGACTTCTAGCAATTAGAACTTTACAATGCTACAGAATTCTTCTGGAGGAGACAGACAAATTTTAAATGAGTAATGGGTTGAAGGGTTAAGGGGAGCACGCAGGAAAATTGAGTCAAGGCTGGAATGGTGAGCACTGCTGCCTCACAGTACCTGGGACCCAGGTTCTATTCCAGACTCAAGCAACTCTCTGTGTGGAGTTTGCACATTCTCCCCGTGTCGGTGTGAGTTTTCTCTGGGTGCTCTGTTTTCTTCCCACAATCTAAAGATGTGCAGGTTAGTTGGATTAGCCATGCTAAATTGTCCATTGCATCCAGGGATGTGCAGGCTGGATGGATTAGCCATAGGAAATGCAGGGTGATAGGGGCAGTGTAGGTGGGTGGGTTGGGGGTGGGATATGGGTAGGATGCTCTTCAGAGGTCAGTATGGACTCATTGGGCCAAATAGCCTACTTGTAGGAATTCTATTCTATGAGATCAACCACAATCACATTAAATGTGATAGCAGGCTCAAGGGGCTGAATTGCCTGCCCCTGCTTCTAGTTCTTATGTCCCTCTGCTCTGTAAGATTTAAATTTTTTAAGAGTTCCTAAGATTTTCACAACTAGTTCTTCTAGGCCAATATGTATACAAGTCGGGCCCTATAGTCATCATGGAAACTGGTTCATTGTCATTTGAATGCATTTGATAGTTGATCGGATCTACTGGCTTGAAACTAGTCTCTCAGCATGGATTGCTATTGGAGTCTTAAGAGAACTGTATGAAACAATTCAATCCTAAATTGCCGCATGTAACGTGGGAAGTTGGAGTAAATGAAAATCAGAAAAATTCCACATTTCAGTGCCTTTGATTAATACTTACATTTCTTTCAAGCGTGGCACGCTCAGATTCAGAAACGAACACCTCTTCAGGCTTGATGCATTATAAACATAAAGGCAAAATGATTAATGTGACTGCATTCTTTTTTCTTAAAAGCCACTGATTTGCCATGGAGACCAAACTTAGGCATATTTACACCAAATCATAGAATCCCTGCAGTTCAGAAGCAGACTATTTGGCCCAACAAGTCCACACTGACCCTCCCAAGAGCATCTTATCCAGACCTACTCCCCTACCCTATGTCTATAAACATGCATTTCCCATGGCTAACCCACTGAGCCTACACATCCCCGGAAACTACAGGCAATTTAGCATGGCTGATCCACCTGACCTGCACACCTTTGGACTATTGGGGAAAAAAAACTAGAGTGCCCAGAGGAAACCCACACTAATGCAGGAAGAATGTGCAAACTCCACACAGTCACCTGAGGGTAGACTAGAACCTAGGTCTTTGGGACAATGAGGTAGCAGTGCTAACCACTGCGCCACCCAAAGATTTTTAACAGAATAGCGCTCTTGAAATCCACCAAGCTTTAACGTTTGCAACAAAGACTAAAAGTATGTTTTAAAAAGCATCTGAAAGACCCAAGATACTACATTGTAACCAGGACTAACACTCCTCGTCATGACAGGCTACACTTACTTGGAGCCACTTGTTTCTCACTTTCAGCTCAGAGCCTGATGAGCTCCTAACTAGCAGCAAGACTGAAAACTAGTTCTGAAGAAGTCATATTGGACTTGAAACATTAACACTGTCGTTCTCTCTACAGATGATGCTGCACCTGCTAGCTCCCTCCACCATCACTTCTTTTTATTTCAAATTTCCAGCATTGGCAGTACCTTGATTTTATCACTGTGAAACAGATTGCTGCAAATGTTACATTGCCATGTAAATGTATGAGACTATGTGGAGATAAGTGAACTGTAAATTGTGTAAGTCAGGGAGATTTACCTTCATCTTCTGGCTACTGAGCCGAGCAACAAGATCCCTTACTCTGTTTAACTCAGCTGCAGCTTCATCATAAATGGCTTGGGATTTTGCATACTCGTCCTGGTTCCTGGTCAGCGAATTCTTAGATTTGGCCAAATTCAATAACTCCAAGCTCAGCTCGTCATTTTTCGCGACCTGCCACAAAACCCACACAAAACGTAATAATAAATGAGCTGCAGTGCAGGCATAGATGAGGTGACAACATAATAGATTATATATCAAAGCTCCCTGCATTGGGGGTTAGGTAGCTGGCCAGTTGGTTTGTAAATTTAGAATAATACCAACAGTGATGGCTTCAATTCCCACACCAGCAGACGGTACCATGAAGGACTTTCCTTTTCAACCCATTGGCAGGGTTGGAGGGTTACAGGTATACACAGAGGCTGGAGCTATTTGCTCTGGAGCATCAGAGGCTGAGGGGTGATCTCATAAAGGTTTATAAAATCATGCGGGGCATGAATAGAGTGAATAGCCAAAGTCTTTTCTCCCAGGGAAGGGGAGTCCAAAACTAGAGGGCATATGGTACAATTACAACTTTTAAAAGGCATCTGGATGAGTATATGAATAGGAAGGGTTTAGAGGGATATGGGCCAACATTAATTAAGGATATTTGATTGGCATGGATGAGTTGGACCAAAGGGTGTGTTTCTGTGCTGTTCATCTCTATGACTCTCCCCTCACCTGAGATGTCAAGGTTTCTTTTTTGATTCAACCTATTTTTCCCCTCATCAACCTGTTCAGAGATGTTATTACAGACTTCAGGAACAGGTGGGATTGAACCAAGGCCTAGAGGTAGGGACACTACTGGTGTGCCAACAGAGGGGCCCATCTGAGATGTCAAATTAAACCATCATCAGTCATTTCTCTCTAATGAGAGCAGTCCTAGCCCCTGGTAGGACTATGGTAACTTTAACTTAGGTCACATCTTCACATGCACTTCAAAGCTAGAGCTCTAAGATGATTTTAAACTTTTAGGCTTGAATTTTTCTCATTTTTTTTATTTTTAAATAATTTTGTTTTAACATTTAAGTGCTCTATATTTAGAACATCGCTCCTTTTTAAAACAAAGTCTAAATGCCTTGCTTTTGAATATGTTTAATATTTAAATAGTTCTTTTTAAAAACTGTGCCTTATCTTGGACAATATGTATAGAAGTTTAAGTGGCCAACTTTGGGACTTTTCCTCATTGTTTAATATTGTTCTAAAGCTCCTCTTGCGCATTTAAGATTGAGAACTGAGATGAAATGAACACGAAATGGGTTGACTGTTTTGAAGCCTCTATATTTCCATTTTTTAAAGAGGTTGTTTGCGGTTTGCAGTTGAGTTCTTGTTCCCATAACCGCGCCAGACCCCACCGCTCAGAGATCCGACCTTGAACTGAGATGTCTGGCCGCCCAAGAACCGCCGGCACCAGAAGTTGCACTCGTTTCGCTTCATCATCTCCTGAGCCTAACTCCGCAAACCCCGGGCGCAAATGAAGCATAAAGTGCTGCTCTAGTGGCATGGTCCGGAGCAAACGTTACATCAAAGGGGCCAGTATCCACTGACCAAACAAGGAAATTACCCAACAATGAGGAGCTTAAACACCCACAGAAAACAATATTGCCGCAGTAGTGGATATATCCAGGTTGTTATATTTGTAAACAGCTGGCTGGGAATATATTATCCCTCATTTTAATTTATGGGTCTGATTGTTATGTCAGTACAGCATGAAGAGAAATACTTGACTTCAAACGGCTAGACAGTTTTAATAGGCAATTTTATTAAGCTTAACAAAGGCAAAATAAAAATCAGAGATAGTAGGAACTGCAGATGCTGGACAATCTGAGATAACAAGGTGTAGAGCTGGATGAATGTGTTCATCCAGCTCTACACCTTGTTATCTCAAAATAAAAATCACTCTTCTTCGGCCGGCTTGGTGTGTTCTCCCATTATAGCAGAATAATTGATTCAGTCACTAATTCAGCATACTAGCTGGATAACTGCTATCGTAGGCACTGTGGTAGTTCCCCTATCTCTGAGCCAGGAGGGCCGAACTCCAAGTCCCACCTCCTCCAAAGGTGCGTCATAACATCTCTGAACAGGCTGATTAAGGAAATGTATCTAGAACGTGGAGATCTAATTGAGATATATAAGGTGCTACAAGGGGTTAATAAAGTAGATATAGAAAGGAGTGAGATATCATAAATTAGGACTAAGGGGTAACAGAGATGAGGAGAAATTACTTCTTTCAAAGGGTGGTGAATCTGTGGAATTCACTATCCCACAGCGCAGTGGTGCTGGGACATTGAGTAAATGTAAGGAGGAGATAGATTTTTAATAGGTTGAAGGGTTATGGGGAATGGGCAGGAAAGTGGAGTTGAGGCTGAGATGAGATCAGCCATGATGGTTTTAAATGGTGGAGCAGGCTCGAGGGGCTGAATTACTTATCCCTGCTCCTAGCTCTTATGTTCTTAACTAGGTGTGGAATTATATAAGCATCACAGAAATATCCATCTGGCATTGTCTGTGCTGGCTGTCTGAGCTTTGAGATGTGTGTTTCTCCTAGTGGGTTCCAGAACCTAGGGACACAGTCGCAGAATAAGATATGAGCCATTTAAGGCTGAAATGTAAGGAGGAATTTTGTCTCTCAGAGGCTCTAGGAATTCTCTACCCAGAAGGCCTGGGGAAGCTCACCTATTGAGCATATTCAAGACAGATCACTAGACTTGTAGACACAAACAACATTGAGGGATATGGAGATATATCCACAGGGTCTACCATCAACAAGGACGAGGGCAGCAGATGCATGGGAACACCACCAATTGCATGTTCCTCTCCAACATCATTCTGACTGGGAATCTTATCACCATTCGTCCATTGTCGCTGGCTCATCATATTGGTTCTGCCATCCCACCAGCACTGTGGGGGTACCTATACCTAACAGACTGCAGGAATTAAGAAAGCAACTCACCACCACCTTCTCAGGGGCAATTATGGGTTTGACAATAGAAGCTGCCCTTAAGCCAAGAATGTATAAAGCAATGAGAATAATTTTAAAAATGCTTTACGATGTTAACAAAAGCCGCCCACTTTGGGTGGAGTTTAAAATGACCACATTCAGGGTCGCTTGGCAGATTATCAGAAAGGCTTTCATCAGCTTTAAACTCCAGCAGAAGCTTTTGTTAACATTGCTCTCACCTCATTTTCATGCCGTTTACTCAGGGTCACATAATTGCTCTTCAGGACAATGTACTCGTCTGCCAGTTCCTTATGGTTTCTCTCCACTGCTCTCAGACGATCCTTAGCCATCCGACACTCATGTGCACATTTGTCCTTCTGCAATTCTAGCTCCATTGTTCTGTTTTCAAGGAATAAAATCTGCAAAAGTGAAAACATCAGCAAGAGTGGTAGTGAAAGAAAGACAAACACTTTCTTCAAAAATCTTTTCAGCGTCTGTGTAACCTGTGAATAGTTGTAATGGTCTAATGTACGCAATGTTAATATTCAACTCCCACGTTTGTGTCAGACATACAGGTAGATATCACTGCATTCTGGGTGACATCCACTAAAATAGCACCAAGGGTCCTGGAATTTACCACACAATGAATTAATGCAAAGCAATCTCCCCGCCCACAAGGTAGTTCAAGCAGCTAGAAATTCTTTGTCCTGGAATCCTACGTAGGAGACAGTCCATGCATTAGGCAACATTACAGGAAGGATGTGGAGGCTTTGGAGAGGGTGCAGAAGAGGTTTACCAGGATGCTGCCTGAATTAGAGGGTATGGGCTATAAGGAGAGGCTAGAAGAACTCGGGTTGTTTTCTCTGGAGTGGCAGGGACTGAGGGGAGACTTGATAGAAGTCTATAAAAATATGGGATGCATAGATAGGGTTGACGGTCAGAATCTTTTTCCCAGAATTGAAATGTCTAAAACTCGGGTGCGTGCATTTAATCTGAAAGGGGGCAAGTTCAAAGGAGACATGAGGGGCAGGTTTTGTACACAGGGAGAGGTAGGAATCTGGAATGCGCTGCCAGGGGAGGTGGTGGAGGCAAATATGATAGGGGTGCTTGATAGGGGCATTTAAGGGACTTTTGGATAAGCATTTAAATATGCAAGGAATGGAGGGGTATGGACCAAGGGCAGGCAGAATGGATTAGTTTAATTTGGCATCATGTTCGGCACAATATTGTGGCCCGAGGGACTCGTTCTTGTGCCGTACAGTTCTATGTTCTAAATTGGTGTTGGAAGCCTGAATCCAGAAGTCATGCCCCCTAGACCCTGCCGCTACCATTTTTCCGGGGCTGGGGTACTTTGGGGAACAGGGATGACTTGCACTTTGCACATCCATGGTTCATGAAGGCAACTTAGACATGTTACAGTTTATCTGCCTTCAACCAGAACCACATTTTGCTAGTGGGATGTCCAAAATATGATTGTGCACTTTAGAGCTAACAGGAGCCGGTCTAAACTTAGCAGAATATTTTGTAAAGGCAGGGTACACATTTGAAAAGATTTTGGATCTGGTCCAGGACACCTTTGGAAGAGGTAAGTTGCCATTTGGGGAGGCCAATTGTGCTTTGGGGTTGTTAGAAGTAGACACAAATGGGGATAAGTGGTGGAAAGATGCATTAGATCTATCAAGAGAGCTGACAAGGGACGTACAAGGGAACTGTAAAGCTACGAGGGCATTTAAATCTCTTGCTTTTTGAGAAAAAATGTCTGCAGTTTTAATAAAATCTGTGCTTGCTGTTTCAATCCTTTTTTTTGTATTCAATCTGCTAATTGACATAAGGCTGAGATTAATCTTGATAGGATTAGTGGTAGATGATTAACTTAAAAGCTTTTCATTATCACAGAGGGGTACCTGTCCATTCATGACTTCACTGACAGTTCCAAGGGCTTATAAATCTTTGAAATGGGGCTATGAATAGAAATGTTTGCTTTTATAAGGAATTAAGTATTTGAAGGAAGTTAAATGTAATGAATGGATTCTCACCAGAGTTTTGTTTTTTAAAAAAAAATCACATCATCATTGATTTCCACCATCAGCAGTTAAGAATTTTATTTAATTTGAGCGTGGGCACTGAGATCTGCCCATGGAGGACACCAGGTGAATGAGCAAAAGAAGTGTAAGGGCAGAGGGTGATTGGTGAGGTACGAGTTGGCGTTAAGCTGGCATAGATGATATAGAGAGCCTGGAAATATCGTGGAGATGGGCTCAATGGAGGCATCCAAGAGGGCATCAGAAAATTATTTGGATAGAAATGGAGAGACGGGTATGGGGAAAAGGCAGGAAATTTGGCATTAGGGAATAGAACTCATGCAGGCATGACAGGCCGAATGGCCTCGTTTTGCACCATAGAAATTCTGTGATTCTGTAAAGGAAGGGTATAAGGGAATGGGTTGGTATGGGAGTTTGAGGTGCCATGGGGATTGAGTGGGAAGAATGATGGGCATGGGGTATGGGGAGTCAGTGTGGAGGGGTCGGGGGTGAAAGGACTGAGGGCTGAAGGGCTTTTATTTTCTCTTCTTCTTCCTAGCAGCGACGAGGTGCTGAAAAAACACACCTCCGCTTCTGGCAGTCCCTGGGGCTGCCTCTGACCTCTTCCTGAGGAAAGTGTCAAACCTGACTCCAGCACACACTTTCACTCTTTAAAAGAAAGACAGACATTTTAGAGAAATTACAAGTTACCCTGACTGAACTGCTTCCGGATCAAAGATTGTTGTAAAACATAAAACAGATATTTTGTCTGCACCTGAAAGTTTATCAAACAAAGCAATCCACAATCTCCATGACAGTGGCTGCATGCTTGTTGCTAAGCAACATACCAATGTCAAGGAGAATTCAATTCACCTCACAAACTGTAAGCAAGGACTGTAGAGTGTCAGTGCAGAAGGATTAAATGAAATCTGGCTAATGATTTGCAAAGTTTATGCTTGTGCAAGTCAGATCACTCAGTGTTAAAGTGCCTCTTCCTTAGCGGGGGGAAGAACAGACTTACATTGCTATAGCACCTACCACGACCTCAGGATTTGCCAAAGCACTCACAACCAAATACTTCATATGTGTAGTCACCATCTCAGCATGGCAGCAAGTTTGTGCTCCCACGATCAGCAATGAGGTAACAACATCTTATCTGTCATTCGTGAACTTATTAACCTGCTAGAAAGCCGATGGTTGGCAGTGCTGTGGTGAGGAATTAACTTTTAGAGTTGAGAAAATACCTAGAAAAATATTGTGGGCACAATTTTCCACTCCCTGTGGTGGTGAGAATAACAATGACAGTGATGATTTAATCGGGCGAGAGTCCAAATTTCAGATTCTCGTCAATGAGATAAATGTTTGCAGTTCAGTCCTCCCTCCATTGAGAGCAAGATGGCTTCCTTGCCAGGGGGTTGGGGGTGGGGTGGGGTGGGATCTGATTAGAAGCTTATCTGCATGTATTTGCATCCCATTCATTACAACCAGACCACACTTCCAAACCCATACCAGTCTACCATTAAATGCAATTCCATAACAAAAAACAGAAATTGCTGGAAAAGCTCAGCAGGTCTGCCAGCATTTGTGGAGAGAAATCAGAGTTAAAGTTTCGAGTCCAGTGACCCTTCCTCAGAACTGTTGGAGAGAGGAGCAGAACGTTTTCAAGGTGGACATGCCTAGAAGAGATGTGGCAGTGAGTTAAATACCAAATAAAAACTGAAAGAACTGCAGATGCTGTAAATCAGAAACAAAAACAGAAATTCTGGAAAAGCTTAGTTCTGGGGAAGGGTCACTGGACCCAGAATGTTAACTCTGCTTTCTCTCCACAGATGCTGCAAACCCGCTGAGCTTTTCCAGCAACTTCTGTTTTTGTTTCTGATTTACAACATCCACAGTTCTTTCAATTTTTATAAGCAGTTCCATGTTTGAGCAGCACTTGCTGATCAATCCAGAGGAGGCCAATAGCTACACTAAAAACAAGATAATCAGTCAAGCTTATAATGTGGCTCACTTATGCTTGCTGGAAGGAACATTATATTCAAACAAAGGGACATGTTCTCTGCAAACAAAAGGAACCTGTTCAAGCCTTGCAGCTTTTTTGAATTATCCAGGAGTTTGAAGAACTTTAGTTCCCATTTTCGTTCTCTATGGTAATACCTTGGCCAAACAAGGTTGACTTGTCAACCATTTAGCACCTTTTCTTCTATAATACAAATTGTCGTGAGGATTTGCAAGACAAACAGAAACCATAGCAGATATTTCTCTCTTTTTAACAATAATTCAGATTTGCAGGGTCTCCCCACCCTTCTTTTTCCATGTCTCTGTGGGTTTCCTCCGGGTGCTCCAGTTTCCTCCCACAATCCAAAAATGTGCAGGTTAGGTGGATTGGCCATTCTAAATTGCCCATAGTGTTCAGGGATGTGTAGATTAGGGGCCTGGGTCTGGGTGGGATGCTCTGAGGGTTGGTGTGGACTTGTTGGGCCGAAGGGCCTGTTTCCACACTGTAGGGATTGTATGAAAACCTTACGTTGGCTGTTATCAATGACTGGAATGCATTCTTACATTAATGCCATCATTCTCAACACTTCTGGTTGTTAATGTCACAGTGTTTATCTCCCATTCCTTCATAAAAATGCTTCATGAATGTATTGCAGAGAACCTTAAAAAAATTCATTCATCTCTCTCTAATACTGTAATCTCCACTTCCCAGTCCAGCAGGTACAGATCTTTATCAGAAATAATTTATCCTCAGACTGCTTTCCTGATTTTCGTTAGATGCTTTTGATTGGTCATCTATATTTTCACTTAGGGACATCTTATCGAACTGCTTCTTCCTCTCCTTCATTTCACCTAATCAGATTACCTAGTCTTTCTGTTACTAAATAAGGAATGTACAAAGCTATCTGTTTGCAGATGACCAGTTCCATCATCGGACCTCTCTATAGTCACAGCCTAAAGTCTGCACCCCATCATGGATATCTGTCTCTTTCCTCACACCACTTACCAAGTCCAGCGTGACATTTCATCAGTTCTAAAGATTTGGACCTAAAACATTAACTCTGTTTCTCTCTCCACAGGTCCTGCCAGACTTGCTGAGTTTCTGCAACATTCTCTACGTTTCCCCCACATAACAATGAATCTTTCTCATAAATCCTTCCAACAACTTCTTGAAAAGCTTCACATCCTTCTAAAGATGTGGTACCCAGAAATGAATACAATACTCTACTTGGGACAAACCAGTGCTTTATCAATGTTAATCATAACTTGCTTCTTCTGTATATACCTCATATTTGAATAAAAAGAGTTATATATTAAGCATCAGCAGTTTGTTCACAACAGTTTGCACTTTTTTTTCATTATTTTTCAATAAGTTAAGTCTACAATGGTTAAAATAACAACCATGTAAAATATTGTAGTGAAATTAGCAGGGAATGAGTACCTTATTCTTAAGCTCAAAGTTCTCAGCTTCATATTGCTCCTGAATCTTGTTTGTCTGGATTTGCAAATCAATCAGATCCTTGGAAATCTAAATACATAAGAGGAATTTCTGAGGTTGAATCAACAAATCAGTCTTAAAATTATAGGGTCCCACAATAAAAAAGAAAATGCATTTTGAGTTTGGGACAAAACTAAAATTGATTGACGAAGAAATTGCAATGAGATAATTGCTCTGAGGATTCTTTGGATTGCTCAGCTTTGATATGGAGTTAGAGAGAATGTGCCATATTCAGTGTCATGAGCTGTACGAAGGTAGTTCATCTCAGCTTGCAAAGTGGCAATAATGTGAGAGTTACACACTTGCGAGTGAACAGCGACAAGATTTATTGAATGTGAAAGGGGGTTAAAAGGACACTAAAGAGATTAATAATCGTAAAGTACAATCAGTAGATGTGCACATGTAATGATTTGATTGGTTAATATACTTGTGTAAACATGCAATGATTTGATTGGCAATTATAATTAAGTGCACAGATAAAAAATGATCGGATAATATAGTCATCTGTACTAACTTGGAATCTGGAGTAGAATGCTTACTGTGGGATATAAAAATTATTCAAAACCACTGTTTTGTAGCACATCAGGGAGTTGTGTGCCACGTTTGATGGGTACATCTCCCATGCATGCATGAGTAAATACTTAGACAAAGAAATTTAACACTTGTTCGGTCTTTAAGGGATCAAAGGGTTACAAACATTCCCTTTCAAATGTATCTATATACAGAGAATGGTAAGACAGGACATCTTACCCAGAGCCCAGGCACCAGTCCCATGTAAACGGCTGTCTGGATAACATAGCTGCTTTCACATATACTCAACCACCAAACCCTGAGTGAATCTGCAACTCCCTTTTAAAGTACTCTTTCTACCAGTCACATTTTACTGTGAACATTTTGCAACTTTACCCCACTTTCTCTCCTCACTCCCACTCTTTTGCTTGAGAGACTAATCTCCAACAGAATTCTTGGTTTTCTTGGGAGAGGTGTGGGAGGTATGCGCTCCTTTGTTGTTTCCTTGGAGTGGTAATGCTTCGTTGGAGGGAAATAGCAGCTACTGGCACCAGCTGGCCTTTGAGTTGAAGACACTCGCTCACATCTCTATGGCTTGCAGCTACCCTTCTCTACCTCATCTTCCATTTTCGAAACATTTCTTAAAACTGATCTCTTTGATCAAGCTTGGTCATTTGACCTGATATGTGTCACACTAGGAGACCTACTGTGCTCTATAATAGGCCTGTGATGTTTTATGACTTTGAAGAGGACGTATCGACATAAGTTGTTGTGGAGGATCTCACCTTCAGTTTTTCTTCCTCACTGAACACGAGTTTGGAGGAGAGGTCATTTTTTGATCCAGCCATCTGTCCCATTCTCCCCTGGAGCTCTCCGAGTTTGTTGTACAAACGTTCATTCCTATCTCGTAGCTGTACCTATGATATCAAACCACGGTGGTAATTCTTGGAAAAGCACTGAATAATCATTCATCACAGCACTGCACACTAATAACCCTGACGGTGGGTTCGTGCCATCGACTGGCCATTTGTTGAATTTGTTCCTTTATTAAAGCATCAAAACAGCCAATTCAAGGATTTTTGCAGCCAGGCCAAATATTGTGAAAACCCCCTGTGCAAAATATCACCTTGCTGCATGGCTGTCAGGAATAGATTACTTGGCAACCAGAACCATGGAGTGAAAGCAGCTCCATACAAAGGATTTAATGTGTTTTGTTATCTAAGAATTGGCTTAAACCCCAACAATATAATACGCTGATAATGGCAGATCTAGTCGGCAATTAAAGGCAAGTTCTGATGTGGTTATATAACAGACAGCAAATATTCACACTTTACTTTAAGGGTGTCTTAATGAATATTCCAGCTACAATTGCCCTGCTCTACATCATTTCTTCAGAAAATGTACCAATTTAAAAATAAATCTGTTAACGTTGCACTTTTTGGTGATTGCTGATCACTCAGACCCAGTGAGACTGATAGGGATAAACAAAATGATGTTGCATATTCAATACTGTTGAAGAGACCTCCTGTTCATATTAAAACACACAAAAGCCATAATTCTGTGAGTGCTTCATCTACAAATTTCATAATAACATGAAAATTTGCATATATGGAGGACTTTCACATCCACTTGATGTGCTTTACTATCAGATAAGTATTTATCGAAGTATGATCACTATTGTAGTGGAGGAAACACAGGAGTCAATTTGCTCACAGCAAGCCCGCACAAAAGGACATGAGAAATAGGAGCAGGTAGACCATTTGGCCCCTCAGCCCTGCTCCACCATTCAATCTTGTTCTAAGCTTCACATTCCTGCCTGTTCCCCATTATCCTTGACTCCCTTGTCAATCAAACACCCATCTACATCAACCTTGAATACATTCAGTGACTCAGCTTCTTCTACCCTATGAGATAGAGAATTCCAAAGATTCATGACCCTCTGATGGAAGAAATTCCTCCAAAGCTCCATCAGTATTAGTGACAGGGCAGATAAACTATTTCCACCAGTTGGCATTTCTAGAACTGGATGCATTCTCTGAGAATTAGGACCAGACCATTCAGGAGAGATGTTAGGAAGCACTTCTACACACAAAGGGTGGTAGATGTTTGGAATTGTCTTCCACTAATGGCAGTGGATGCAAGGTCAATTGTTAGTTTTAAACCTGACGTGGATAGATTTTTGTTAAGCAAAGGTATTAGAGGATATAGGCCAAAGGCAAGTATATAGAGTTAGGCCACAGATCAGCCAGATCTCATTAAATGCTGAAACAGGCTTGAGGAGCTGAATGGCCCACCCCTGTTTCTAGGTTGAGGGATAGATGTTTGACCAAATACCAGGGAAGAGTGGTCACTAATGTCCTTTAGGGAAGGAAACTGTCATCCTTACCTGGTCTGGCCTACATGTGACTCCAGACCCACAGCAATGTGGTTGACTCATAACTGCCCTCTGGGCAATTAGGCTTGGGTAATAAATGCTGACCCAGCCAGAGATGCCCTCATCCCGTGAATGAATATTTTAAAAAAAGTTTTTCAACATAATGCCGTGTGATTGTTTACACCCAAGAAGAAAGAGAGCATTGTTTTAACTTTGGTTTTAGATTCACATATCTTCACCTCAAGAGTCAAGGAGAATCAAATAAATATAACTATAACGTTGCAAACGGTCAGAGGAAGATAAACACAGTGTCATTTCTCACTGCTGTACCCATCAGTCGTGAATACAGCCTCAAAATAAAAGAAATAAACACAGAGAACGCTGGAGAAACTCAGCAGGTCTGGCAGCATTTGTGGAGAGAAAAACAGGGATAATATTTCAAGTCTGGTACAACTGTTTGGAAGTTTCTCCAACAATCTCCATGTTTCATTCAGATTTCTGGCAGAGTCATACCAGAATCAAAACATTAACTCTTTCTCTCTCCACAGATGCTGCCAGACCCTGCTGAGTTTCTCCAGTTTTGGCTGGTGCTAAATAGACAGGATCAAAACTGTTCAACTAGGAAGGAAGGAATGTAAAAGGCAGGGTTTTTTTATTCACCGCTGTGTTATGGGTCACTGGCTGGCCAGCATTTATTGTCCGTCTCTAGTTTCCCCCTTGAGAAAGCAGTGGTGAGCTGCCTTCTTGAACCACTGCAGTCTATGTGCTGTAGGTTGACCCAAAATGCTGTTAGGGAAGGATTTCCAGGATTTTAACCCGGCACAAGTGAAGAAACAGTGATATATTTCCAAGTCACAATGGTGAGTGGCTTGGAGGGGAATTTGCAGATGATGGTGTTCCCATGTGCCTTCTGCCCTTCTCCTTCTAGATGGAAGTGGTCAGGATTTAGAAAGTGCTGTCCAACAAACCTTGGTGAATTAGACAGCACCTTCTTTTTTCTGTGTTTATACCTAAATGAAGAAATACAAAATAAAAGGATGATTGAGCTAAATATCTCTGATGCTGGAAATCTGAAAAAAAAAGACACAGAAAATGCTGGAGAAACTTCAGATGCATCATACTGGGCTTGAAATGTTAACTCTGTTTCTCTGTCTCCACAGATGCTGCCAAACCTGCTGAGTTTCTCCAGTATTCTCTATGTTTCATTCAGATTTCCAGCATGCGCTGTATATTGCTTTGTTTTAAAATAAAATAAATGCTTTTTAAAAATCTCCAACACAGCTTTGGTTGCCTTTTCAAAAAATGTAACGTAAAAGTACTTTTGACATTCTTTTGGATAAGGGAATATTCAGCTGGTCAATGCTGATGGTTTGTTCAGTCTGATCCCACCCTTCCTGCACTCTTTCAACATGAGACAGTTTTAAAAGCAATGGGTTACTTGCTTACGTTTTCATCGTTCAATCGACGAATCTGATCCTTGAGTGTGTTGACTTTCTCGTTTGCATCTTTGGTTCCCATTGCATCGGCCGACCGATGTTGCAATGCCAAGATTTGCGCTCGGTACTGGGTCACCAGTGACTGGAATCAATGGGAGAACAGAGTGAAAGCAAGTGCACACCCTTTAACACAGACCAGCCAGGGTAAACTCACAGGCGTGTCTGGGAGCATTGTGACTGTTGCTATAAACACTTTGTTGCTACTATTTCTCTTCTTACTCTGACTGAAGACAAGCCAAAAATCACACAACATCAGGTTATAGTCCAACAGGTTTATTTGAAAATGCAAGCTTTCGAAGCTCAGCTCATTCCTCAAGTGTAGTGTGAGAGAGACGATATAAGACACAGAATTTAAAAGCAGAAAGGTAACAACCCTAAAACTGGCCGCCTCTTGTTGAACCTTTAATCAGTTACAAAGGAGACTACTAGTTAAAATGCAAAATCCAGATTTCTTTCCAGTCATTGTCCCGAGATAATTAAAGGTTTTATCAACGTATACAAGAGGTGATATCTCAGGTCAGACAATGCATTTTAGGTGTGAGGTCTTTCATAGAATCTGTCCATGTTTTAAACTAGGGTCAGGTTTTTTTAAACAAAACAGAATGTGTCTCCAACTACACAAACATCTTGGATGAAATAATCCATGTGTGCGTCTGTCTCTGTCTGTGTGTGTGTGTGTGTGTGTGTGTGTGTGTGT